GCTTACGACACTCGGTATTCCAAGGCGGTCACCCATCCTAGTACTAACCGAGCCCGACGTTGCTTAACTTCAGTGATCGGACGAGAACTGGTGCATTCAACGTGGTATGGCCGTAAGCACTAGATGACAAACTGAAAAACAGATTAACAGTGAGCACTTTCTTGTCAAATGTTTAGAAAATGTCTACATCATATGCCATGCAGCTTACATTATCGGAGATTTAGTTTTCTAGGATTTGGGTTTTCTATAAACCTGGATCCCATAAACTTTAATGAAATCTTTATTTGCCACAAACCAGAGTGGAAACTCCTTGAGCCATGCAAATCTTTTTTCAGATTTGTTATAGCTTTAATCTGCGAGGAGAAAAGTTGAAAATACACGTCGATTAATGGTTTTGAGAAATACTGCAAATAAAAGTCGGGACAGTCATATACTGTTCAGAACATAATTGCTTAATAGTATACTTTCTAAAAAATCTAATGTATTTCAGTTTGAAGCTCGTTAAATTCTGTATTCTTTCAATCATAAAGAAACAGGACAGGTTGATATGTAATCATGCAACTCTAAAAATATCAGCGATGTATATGTTTTTATATGACATAAAAGAATATTAATTGCAACCAACTATGTATTTCCACCACCTAACATTAGCTAGTTTCTAATTCTAATTTGAACTAATAGGAACAAAGCCATTTAGAGGACCAAGTCATAATGACTGCAGTTGAAAAATCTCGACGTGTCTTCGTATGAGAAAAATGTCTTGGCAATGTTCGATACCCTTTTAAGCATACATTAGCCGAACTCATCCTATGTCTCATTCTGATTCAAGTAAAATAACAGCAAAAATAGCACCGTTTCTTTTTATCCACACTTTTGTAAATAAAGTTTCTTTATTTGTTCAACCAAATGGAGCACAAACGACATTTTCAGGGATTTTTTACTTGATTATTTGTTTTTAAATCCATTTCTGTGCAAAGAGAATTATCGAGAACTACAGCAGAAGAAAAGAAATGATATTTTTCATTGTTAGCTGATGTTTTCAACTTACAAACTCTATGAATATTTATTACATCTCCTTTGTTAAACAAGGGGTACGATAAGAATATTTTCTATCTATATTTTCAAAAATTCTCCGAGTGTGTAATCAGAAGATCGAGGTAATCAAAACCTGTACCGTGCTCTTTCGATAAAATGCCGATATGCCTTCAAAAATAATATTTTTTGTGCATCCCTATTGAACTACAGTATCATTATCATACAAATTACTTATCGAGCTGAGACATGTTTAGTCGAACGAGGTTCATTAAGAGAAAAAAGTCCTTAACGCTTATCCTTAAATTAGCTAGCAAAATAGATCTTACATGAACAAAGAGGTCAAAGTGAAAAAAAGGATCCTTCAGCTGTTTCTGGTGCCTAGCTGTATGTACAATTGGCCGGTCAGAAGAAAGCTGTCATATTCTTTCTATTACCCATGCTGCAGTATAATGGACTCGAGAAGAGAACAAAAATTCTACAAAATACCCTCGGTTTTTTTTGAGAAATCGTGCATATCATTTAATTAATGCATATCATCTGGAAGATTATTCCACTCATTCAATTAATTTTTATTTTAGCTTTTAACCTAGGCGACAAAAAGATTTTTTGATAAGATTGCCCCTGAGTGGAAATGTATCCTTTTCTATTGAACCGATTAAAGAGATGCTAAATGTATTTCAAAGTCGCTAAGCAATAATCAATCCGGGAGAAAATATACGCCCTCTAAACATATAAACGTATAGAAGATAGTACAGTCCCCAAAACTCTATTTAATGTCCCCAACATTTGTTTACAATTTTTGACAACGGTTCAAATGTGATAAGTTTCTTTTCATGTCACTTCGAGGCTCAAAAAATCATCTATAGCCACCATAGAGTAAATATCGTCATCAACTGATTCCATCAATTCATCGAATATATGAAGTGGTTTAGCAGAAATTTATGTACCACGTGTAACGCGATTGCAAAAAATAGGGGCCGTTAGTTGGACAAGTTTCCTCTTCTTTTTACGTGTTCTTCTTTTGTGTAGAGAAACGAATAGCTTCGCATAAGATGGAATGTTTCATTTTGATCAAATTTCTAGAAATTTTAAAACTTGTTTCTACTATCAAGCTTATATGGTTGCCGATTCTTCCGGCATTTTTTATTCTTGTTTCTAAACCCAAAATGGTATTGTAGTACATTTGAGAAACGATTTGACGGTTTTGTATCGTTACTAAACCATGTTGATTTTTTAAAATACTTATTTTGGTTGCGTTTTTGGTTCGAAAGTAATCCAGATTAAAGCTTTCCCAGGCTTCTATATTTGTTTAATTCTTATTATGTAGTATTTAAAGAAATGTTAAATATGTTTTACGTACAGAATTGAATGGGAAATCTTTTAAAAAAGGATTGAGGTAGAGATATTGAGAAAATACGGAGAGGGATTGTATCTTCGGCATACCCGTTACATCAACAAAAATAAAACCGTATGGTCAACGTCAATTTAAGCTGTTTTTAAGGCCTGTTTTTTGTCAGCGATCTCGGTTTTCAGCCAATTTTTAGCAATTTTTCTCGTGGATAAAATAGCGTCATTTTCAGTAGTGAAGGTATGTATTTAGTGCCCTTTGCCGTAATCATGATATCTGATATTTCTGTTAGACAAGAAATCATTAGGTTTTCTAGCGGTCAAATGACCTCTATGTGGATAAAAGAAAGGAGCCAATCACTTATCACGTCTCTGACGCCACAATACATATATTTTAAAAAGTTAAACATAATTCAACCAATTATTTTTGAATAGAAAGAGCTTTCTTTTCGCTTCATAAATATGTATCACACTACTATATTGAGCCTTAGATCTGGTGTCGCTATGCTTTTCAAACTTGTTTAACGCTTTTCTCAGAACATGGTTTTAGCGAAGCAACATTGTATCTCCTCCTGGATGATTCATCGCAAAACCTTGATTTTTTTTTAATTTTAAAGTTAAGACATTTATCTAAAGTTTGATTCACAGCAATTTTGAATTTCGTTTCCGGTACAGAAATAAGTGGTAAATACTCCGCCGAATTTGGGTTATTTTCAGGGTTCCGCACTCAAAATACGTATAGAGAATGTAACAGACGCGAAATTCAAAAATCGCCGCGGATCAAATTTTAGATTTAGGCGTCTACTTTCGTTTGAGAACACCCGCAGCTTTCTGTTTCTTGCAATTGTTCCCCCCTATTAAGGGTAATACTGTGTAGTGTGCCTTACGCTTTATCCTAGGCCAAAATTTTGATCAGGTTCTAATGGGTTCATCTGACCTATTTCACAAGATTAATCGTGTTAAAATTCTCATTAAACAACTTAACGGTACTGATGACCACCTTGTTGATCCGAGTTTAATACTGAATTGTTTCTTGTCCGCTTTATAGCGACAGATGCTCATTCATTTACTCTTCCACCAATGATTATCTGTCCTAAAATTTAGTCAATCGAAGCATTTCTGTCATAGTAATGTATAAATAATCAAAATCAATAAATTTCGTTATTGTACCGCTAATTATCGAAATTATTTAGCTGCAGGTAATTTCGAACGTACTTAAGCAGGTACTTAGATACTTAAGAAAAGTGTTATGTACTTGAACCACTTGTGTAACTTTTACTACGCAAGAAAAGTACTTTGCTTTGACTCATATGCATTTACTACAGTAGTCTTTAAATTTAACGAAGTACAGGATGATGAAAGACTGGAAAACAAAAATGATAGAGGAGTTAATTAAGACACTTTTCATGCAGCTAAAAGGCTTTTCTGATAAAAATTAGAGAATTGTTTTCTTCACATCAAATTATGAGCTGTAATTTGACAGAAAAAACTTTTAAACAACGACATCTGAATGATTTTAATTCCTAGAAATATTTGAACTAATGTACATCTCATGTTTTGCTAATCATTTTCGAAAACTCGGCGGCGGACGCTGTCTTGTCGGCAAAAAGTTGATGATTGTTAGCGTATAAGTCGAATCGTACTTTGCTTTTGAGAATTCTAACGTTGTTTTTGTTCAACTCAACTCTTAGCAAATATGCAATAACAGTTAAATCACGTAAATAGTAGTAGTTATCTCTAAGATATACATTATATTTATTCTAGTATTTCTCGGTTGTGACAATAAAAAGAGACATCCTAGAAATATTTTGTTTCGACTTTACCCCTGTTCCAGAACAGGCTAGGAAAGTCTCGTTCTGGAAAAACTTCTCATTAAAAACACTGCATATCAGGGCAAATAATACTAGAAGCAAAATTCTACCCTTCTCTGAAAAACAATAAGATTTCGTGTTGATTTTCAAGTTCTACACGCGTAACATGGGCTTTTAACATCCTTTAACTCATTCACGTATTGCGTTCTCACCTGATTGAAGAAAATTTTCATTTTGCGTTATTATTTGTGTGTGTTCGGTGGACAAAATAATACTGCACATAGACTACTTTAAATGTATTGCTTTTTCTTCTATATAGTATTAAAAGATCATTATAAATGGAACTAGCGCAAGTTCCCTACGGTAATGGTGGTGGCCCATTTCCATCAAACGATAAAACACCACTCGCTTACCTTCTTGATATAGCTGTACAAAAAACGTATCATGATCTATTTACAACAGCTGAATTGTAAGTTTACAATAAACTTTTACAATGTTTTGAATTGTGTTTTGTGTTATTCTAGGTTGGCTAGAAAACCTGAATTAGACCGGTATGTGCTTGCCATGATTAAATAAATAAAATCAACTAACTCTCCGTATATTTCCTTTATTTAAGAAAAATTGATCTTGTTACATTTGCATCTCGTACACGTCAGTTATTTATACGAATATTAGCCGTTGTTAAATGGGCAAGATCAGCTAATAAAGTGCATATTTGTGAGGTATGATTTTTTATTTAAAAATCAATCGTATAATAACAAATGCTGTCCATTTTTTAGAATATTGGCAATTTTCTAGAATATCGTGCGAGATTAATTCGAGAAACATCAGATACACTTGCACAACTGGCACGAGAGAAACTTATTGGCGCAAGGTAATTAGACACAACAGTTTTTGTAAAAATTTGTTATCCCTGTGGTTATTTAATATGACAAAAATACGGGAGAGACTGGCATTTATGTAAATGTGATATGTAACTTTTATCTTATTTCGATATGATGGAAAACAGTGCAAACACACTCACATTAGGTTTAAGGAGAAAACTATTCACTACAGAAGAGAGTTTTCGTTTGTTTTAGACTGCCAAGTTATCCGATTACAGATGCTGTTGACGCTCTTACTGTCGGTACAGTCAACTTTTTACCAGAACGTATTTCGGTTCGTTTCTACGGTGAATTTTGCGCAATTTTAAATTTACTGTAAGTTCTTTTGTTCAAGGAAGCAACAACCCCATTCACGCCGGCTACAGAACAAGAACGACAAGAAATCTTACCGCGTCTTGGAAAGATTTTAGCGGCAAGATTGGCTATAACAGATTTACCATTGCAATTTACCAATGTGTCAATTAGTGAGAACACATTTTTTCAAAAATGATAGTGTTTTCTCAATTGACTCTTGTTTTTTGTAGAGAACGGACGCGTAACATTGGCTGTTGACGGAGAGTTTCAAGTTAAATTAGGAATTACAAGTGATAATTTATTTACCCCATGGCAATTATATAAGATTAAAATATTTTTACGTGATCCCGAAGAACCCGGTATGTATCATCCTCTTGTGTAGATCTTGTCAATGGTATAAAAGTTGTTTCCTTTCAGAACAAGATCTTGTACATCCATTGCAGGTAACATACGTAGTACACAAAATGTTTGTTTTGTTTTTTAAAAACTTCCAAGTTTTTCCTTCATAAGAAGCAGAGGTGCAAAATCTACCCGTGAGACTGGAAAATTTCCCTTGATAGAAAAAGTTTTTTCAAAAACTTCTCCAACATAATCTACGAGCAGAATTTCTTTTTGCAATATATTTGCAAAAGATGTTACAGTTTTTCAAAAAATCTCACTAAATCAATAAGTTTTCCCCCGATGACCGTAGCAGCAAACAGGTAGATTCTGCAGGTCTGATAAGAAGGGAAAATAAAGTTTAAAAAGGGAGTTTTTATTGGGTTATTGCGGTTTTGCACTTTCTGTTGTTGCCTACGCTAACGGACAGACATCCCTTTTAAAAGACTAACACTACCGTCACACTACAGCCTTAGTCACGATTAAAGTTAATCATAATTAACGATTTTGTAGTGTTATCGCATCCTTGTTTAATCATGATTAGAGTGGCCACACCACATCTAATCGCGACTAACACTACCCATGTTGAGCGGTACGGCAGTTGTACGCGCACGTCACGTACACTTGACGTTCATCGCGGTTGGTACATGTAACGAAAGTGTGTACATGGTGCGCGTAACGAGCGTGACATGATTTTCTCTCTTTTACAGTTTCATAGTCTCGATCTGGGTAATCGTCCGTCTTTTAATCATGGATAATGTTAATCGTGTGGTCACACTACGAATTAATCACGATTAACTTAATCGTGACTAAGGCTGTAGTTTGACCGTAGTGTATGATTAGTAGATGTATTTCTATGGATACGGATTATAAACGTGGCTTTCAGATCTACGGTTTAATGTAAACACGCTATCGGATAAAGGCGTCCACAGCCTCGATACTAAGGCACTTGTTGAACGTAGATGTTGAGGAACGGCTGAGTTAGTAAATTAAAGGTAAAATGTTTACATTTTTGTCTGATACGGCAACGCTGACAAGCTTTTTGAATACATTTTTATTTGTTTAGATTCAAACATTAACAAATTTTGTCCAAGGCTGGCTATTTGAATCAGAAAATCCACTTGTCGAATTATATCGTTATTTGCGTATCCTTTTTCATCTAAGAATCGAACAAATTTTGACAGTTTGAAAACGTCCAAGTAGTTAGTTCAAGAAATCACTCTTTTCAGTTGATTTGTTTTTTCTCATCTCATATTAATATTGATTCAATTCGCATTTTGCAGAACAGCATCAAAGCAAACAAAATTTGGATTGTTCAGCTAAAATATTTTCCACTAACTACTGTGATTACTGCACTACTGTAGACTAGTTTATAAAGAACGCATCTTTTATTAAATATTTAGGTATATTATTTACTTTAACCTTACAAAAGATTGTTTTTGTCAATCATTACGCTTACAAATTCTAACAGAACAAGTAAATACTTTACTTTATTTCGAGTATAATTTTGATAGCAGACTTAATTCTTGATGAGTATTATGATTAGTATAATGTTTTAGGGTTGACATGTATCTATTCTAATTTATTTATTGTTCTAGGCATTTCGTATACGAGATAGAAGTGCTTCTAAACAAAAACACGTACATATACCAGAATATATACCGTGCAAAAGTTTGACGATTGAATATTGGAAAGATTATGTTAATAGTAACAACATTCAAAAGAAAACAGTTCAACAACCACAACAGCAACAATCAACTGCTCAAGCACGTGGTGGTATGAATACTTTAATCAAATGAAAAATAATTGATATTATCAGATTTTTTAATTTTATTTTAGATATACGAATGACAATTATTTGTGATGATGATGCTAAATTTCGAATTAGTCATTTTCCACCATTATTAATCGAAGATAGTTTAGCTATTATTCAAATATTAGATGTACGTAATATATATATATATGAGTTATTGTTGAAAGGGCTAACTTTTTATTTGAGAATAATTATTTTAGAGACCGATGTTTACAATGGAAGAAATTTTAAATCGAACTATTTACGCTCGATCACAGAGACGTTTTGAAGTAAATAATCTATAATTGATTTGTAAATAACTATGGATTTATCTTTTGAATTGTTTATTTTTTGTTGTAGGAATTAAAAGAAATCATTCTTTCGACAACATCAGCTATTAGTAAGTATAGAATTAAACTTTACTTAATTATTTAACTTTCTTCAATTATCTAGTTGTAATCGATCCAATGATTCCTGCATTAAAATGTGAATTATTGCCAGAGAGTACGTCAGAAGAAGTTTTATTTATATCAATTAGTCCATTGAATGGCATCTACAAAGTTATTTCCTATATGGGTTTGTGATTTCTCTATTGATGTAAAAGAGAAAGAGAATTGCAGATTGTTTTTTATTTATCCCTATTTAGAATCCTATTATTCTCAACAGATTGAAAATTCATTAAACAGAGATCAAACAAATTTAAGCGAAGCCATTAATTTATTTAAGTATGTGATTTACTTTTTTATTTACATTACATTGTAGATTGAATTAATAATGAATGTCTGCATATCTAGAATTTGGCTTATTCAACAGCGTATTGCACCATTAATTGCTCATTTAAGTTGTCGTGTTTATACACGTTTACCATCATTAAATCCAAAACATGAATTAACATCACAGTTTACGAATAAAGCTGTTTATATTGAATTAACTCATCATGAAGGCTATTATATTGTTCGTATTACTATTCATTACACATTCAATTCAGTTACTTGTCTATTATGAATTCTTTCTTTTAGTTAGTATATGTATCAGATGTCAAACAATTGCTAGTACAATATTATTTACTAGTTGTTGAAAAACGTTCATCGGCTTATGATCCAGTTACAGCTCAACAACAACAGCAAATGATCATACAACAAAATTTACCAGGATCAGTAGATGAACCAACAAAATGGATATTAGAACCAGTTTTATTATCTCCATTAGATCCATCAACATTCATACAAAAAGATGATTTATCGGTAAATTTTTGACTAAAATTCATTTTAGTATTTTATTTAGAATACAATTTTTCTAGATGAAAAATTTTCGATATGACAAACAGAAAGAAACGATAGAAGATGAAAATACAGTGAAAAATGTACGATCAGTATATGTAGTAATGCATTCTTCATCAGAAGAGAAATGATGTTTTTTGTTTTGTTATCAGGCATCTGTTATTTCATTGAAATTATTGTTGAAACTTGTTAATTATTACGATGAAATGTTAACATTTACATTTCTAAAAGATGAAGTAAGTTGATTTTAATAATCTATGTTTTACAATGACGTTAATTTTTGTTATTACTTTTCTTTATTTAAGCTTTTTCGAAAGAAAATAATTTGTAAAGGTATTATTTATAGTCCATGGACAGGTATTCCATATTTAGATATTGTTCGGTAAGTTTTTTGTCATTATTCATCTTTTTAAATATTTTTTATTCTTTTATTGTTTTATTTTAGTTTATCAAGTGGAGAAGAGTCATTAATGAATGAAGAATTAGCCAGTTATATATCCGAATGTTTTTGGCCACGTTTACAAGCTTGTACAATTCGTTTAACATATACGTTACGAGATGTTATTAGTAGTGGAAAACATAATATTGAACGATACTGGAATGTACATGTACGTATAATGTTTTTCATTGTCATTAAATATATTACAAAACATTCATTTCTTTCTAGTTAAAAATGAATGAAAATTATTTTCAAAATTTAAATATAAAAAGTAAGCTAAATTTTATGATATTTCAAAATTTGACTGTAAAAGATTCAAGAAGATCAGAAGTAATTGTCAGAAGCAAAAAAAAATACTGTATTGTTGCGAAAAAAACATCTAAAATATTTGATTGCAGAATATTTTTGTTACTTACTTTAGCACCGTATAATACGATTGTGATGTGTTCACATTTACCATCAAAAGCGTATTCAAGAATTGTTGATCACATACGTAATGAATTACGTTCAATGTTTGAATTGACTCATTTATTTGAAAGCTACGCCATATCATTACAAGGTTTGTTTTCTAGTGATCATTATTTTCTAGTACTAATAAAAGTAGAACAATTTTTAGATTGTACTGATCTTCGTGCAATATCAGAAATATCTTATTTCAATTTTTTCAAATGTATAATTAATTATGGACCGAATTTTTCATTTGGAGTAAGTTATAATTTTGTTGAAATTAGCTCATGTTTGATGAATTATTGATTTTTTATACTATAGGTTTGTGTGTCGTATAACAATGCTTTAATTCTAAATGTTCAAGAAAATAACAGTCTCGGTGGTTTTGATTTACGTTTTATTAATAATGCAAATACATTATTACCAAATACACATTATGTATTGAATACAAAACTTAGTCCATATTTGAATAGAAGACATTCGTTAAAAAAACTAGTTCGAGTATGATAAGATTTTTAAAGAATATAGAACTGAAAATGATATAGTATGCATTATTTTCATTGTAGGTTCTTCATATGACTGCTGTTCCACTTGCATCAATATGTCGACTTGATTCATTTAATAGACCAATTGTTATAGCTAGTCATGTGTGTAAACGCTGCTTTTCTATCATTTTATCTAATAAAATAATAAGAATGACAGATTATCGATGAATGTCAGATGCTTAGGATTATTTTCCTGTATTATGAGCGGAATCTTTTATGAATAGAAAAAAAGATTTTATCTTGATCGATTAAAAGAAAATTGTTCTTTGTTTTTTTGTAGGGTGGTACAGCGCAACCAATATTATCAATTGTACCCTACACTGATACAAGATGGCGTTTATATTTTTGGAATTATTTTGTATTAGATATTCAAATATGCGGTCCAAATCTCATACTTGTACGTGATGGATACTACAGCGTGCAATTAAATAGTGCATTACCCGATTTTAATCCAATACCACATCTGAAAGTATGAATGGATTCTTCATTTGTTACATTTTCTTCATTTAATATATTTTTTTCGACGTAAACAGGAATTTTTAGCAAGATATATGGATGATACTGGTTTAACATATGAATTTGATCAAATAACTGAACGATATCGTGATCGTGATTTTCTGACTGATATGAACATTCATTCAGCGTCATCTACAATGTATGTACGCCAATAAAGATTGAATTTAAAAGCTCATTTTTTTTCTCCTGATTATTTTAGACACAAGCCATTACCGCCCCCCTCACTGCCACCTCCATCCACTCAACAATCGTACGGAACTATGACAAGCCTTTTACATACTCCTTCAGGTCCTGCTAGTGTTCAAGCAACATCATCGATGAATCCCTTAACACCTGTTAACGTTAATCAACAACAGCAGCTCCAGCCAAGTTCACCATCAACATCACTTATTGCACCTAGTCCAAGTTTTCAAACAATGGGCACACCATCGCCAATGATGACTGGTATTGGTTCTCCAGCTCAACTAACCGCACCATCGCCAATGGGTAGTGGTATGAATATTGCAACACCATCACCGGCTAATCTCTATGGTACTTATTGCATTCCGTTTTACCTGTCAAACTGATTGTGCTTTAAATCTCTCTTGTTTAGGCGAAATGCCATTTTCAATATCGAGTCCGGCATCTCAACGACAACATGGAAGTACTTTTCCAGGCTCATTCATTAGTCCTTCACCAGGCACTCCAAGCATGAATATTCCATCTGTTTCTTCGGCCACGACTACTACTGTTAATACTAACGTTTCAACATTTGCTCAAGCACGTGGAGATATGATCGACTCTAGTACTTATCATTCATATTCATTTCTAGGTATTGTAAAATAATTTATTGCTGTTCTTCTTTTTCTCAAAGGTAAACCCCCGTCCATAACATCGACGTTGATCAATAATTATAATCGTCATCTTTCACAACCAATATTTCCACTTTATTTATCCCAGCAAACATTTTTCAAAATGCTTCATACAAGTGATTCACGACAATGGTCAAAATTAGAATTTTTTCTGGCTTCATCAACAATTGTGAGACAATTTGCTCGTGCTGTAGCTGAACCAGTTGATCAAAATAATATAACGGTACTTATACTAAGTGAAATGTCATTTACCGTAACTAGATTAGAATTTTTTTGTTTTCTCTACTAGATTCGTGCAGTAAATAATGAACCAGATACATACAGAATGGAACATCTTGCATTACAATTACAGTTCATATTTGATAAAATATCGGGTAAGAATAAATGTGATATTCTACATACTTCTTATATAGTCTACTTACTAATTTGAAATAGTTTTGAGTATTATTTTTAATGTATACTTTTTAGGTTTATATAGAATTAAGTTTACAACGACTGAGCAGGCACCAATTGCATCTCAACAACAACAATGTTTGTGGTTATATGATGAATTACAAACATTGGATACATTTTTCAATGAAATATTCTTTACTATATATCCATTACCAATGGCAATTGATATAATCTCATTACATTCAACAGCAAATCGTGGAACAGTTGTTGCTACATTACAAAAATTATTTACATTTATTCAGTCAAAAATATTAAAAGATCTGATTAAAATTATGAGACTTGAACAGGTATTAAAATTCTAAAATCTAAAAGAACGAACCAATATTCATGAATATTTTAATAATTTTTATTTAGAATCCCGATCCTCAACATATGTGGCGTGCACGTTGGTGTTTGACCGTTCCAAGTGGTAATGGTTTTGCACAAGTTGGTAATCCATCAATTGGATGTGGACCAAATCGACATGTCTACATATTTGTTGTAAGTGTTTGTAAATTTTTTTTCTTCTTTGATTCTTAGTTTGTTCAATGGTAATTTTATCTCTTTTTAAAAGTTTCAATTTATTCCACGTACTGAGATGCAACTACCAAATGCTACAACATTTATTGTTCCTTTACAATATGATTTACAAACAAATTTAACAAATTTATGGGATACATCTAAAGCAACATCAATGTATGTCGAACGTAAACTTGTCGATGTTAGCCGATTAGTCGAAGGGGTTAAACAAACATTAAGTACTAAAAGTAAGTCATCTAATTTTTACATTGTTTCTCTTTTTAATTGTAAATTATTTACAAAAAAAATTTTTTTCTTCTAGCTGAATGTTCACTTTATCCGACAATACTTGAACTTGTTTCGCATTTTCAACTTTCTCAGCCAACAATTGGTGGTTTTCCATCTTAGAAAAATTTTTCTTGTATGTCTTTTCTTCTCCTATTTACTGGTCCGTTTGCATTATTTTTTAGATGGCTTAGTCAGACGTTGTTACTTGTAATCTTGATTTTTATTCAAGAAAAGTGTATTTATTGTGTATTTTTATATGTCTCTATGCACACCATTTAGTTTTTGTTTCGCAACTAGCTTTAGAACTTTCGATGAAATGTTTTTCGTATCTATATCTTTTTTTTTTTCTTCTGTAAATTGCTATATCTTCATTTTTTTCTTCTTGTGTATATCTTGTTGTTATAAATGCTATGTGAAACATTTAAAAGAGCACCAGATACATTAGTTTACATTATATGTCTTTTTAATTGTGAACATGAGTTATCTTAATTTTAAAAATAGATGTTAGATGAGCAATCAAACGATGTTATTAGAATAATTCCCATAAGACAGATCTGTTTAGAATTTATTCCGTTTAGCAAATGCTGACAAAAGTTGAAAAAAACAAAAACTAATGAGATTTGAGTAGAAGGAACTACAGGAATTACATTCGATTGAAGGTGATAGTTTAAAATGCAGTGAATTTTTGATTGTTGATTGAACATTTCTTGATACTTAAAACTTTTTATTAAAGTTAATTTAGCAAAACTCTTGAAATTAACATGTGACAGACGAATTTTTCTTATATTAGTCGTAGTTCAAAGTTTTTGTTAATTGATTCTGAAAAAAAGAAATGAAAATTAAGCATTTATCTACACTGCGTGTGCGTATTATCGAATCTAACGACGAAAAAGAATCTTTTTGGCATTTAATTGATTTGAATCATACGTTAACATTAGAACATGTTTGGAAAAGTTTATGTCATCCATCAAATAAAACCACAAATGAAATAATGTTTCAATGTAATGACAATGCTAATCTAATGCCATTATCGTCTAGTGTACATTTACTAAATAATAATGATAAACTTAAAATTGTACCTCTTGAAGCTGATTCTAATAAAACTTTAACTCAAAATGTTGAAAGGTAGATATATGGACATGTGTCGATGAGAGATGTTAAATTTTTTCTGTTGTTTTTGTTTTAAGCATATCTATAAAGAATAATATCCAAGAAATCAAAATAGATAGAACATTAAATTCATGTATTAATAAGAAAAAAAATTTCAAACGTCGACGTATAAAAACAGAATCTAAACAGAAACAACTTCGTACAATACAAACAAATCGTTCATTTATAATTACATCAAAGGATGATTTATCAAAAACATTTTTTCAACAATGGAATAAAAATAAATATTGACTAACGATTATTTTTCTTGTAAATTATTTGTCAGTAGTTTTTGAAAGTAAAATAAACAAAAAATAATAGTTTCTCACTGATTTTATTTGTTTTTAATGCTTGTAAGATGGATACGTGTTTAGAGTGACTTAATGAGGAAGAGTGAATGCAACTGAATTTTTTCTTTACTAATATTTCCATCTCATTTTTTTTTTCTTTTCTTTTTTTTTGAAATCATGTTTTTACGCGGGAATGTTGCGAAAGTTTCATTGAAAGATATGCTTGAAATTCAGGAACGTCTTGGCACAAAAAAGTAAGCAGACTAGTCACTGCTAAAGTTTTTTATTTAATATCATGTTTAAATTTTTTTCTTGTTTAGTTTCACAAAAGTTTTGAAACAAGACGATGAACATGATGAACAAGAAGATAACGAAGAAGAAGAAAAAGAATTAAAAAAAATGAAAAATTATAAACCAGCAATAAATGCACCAATATCGAAATTTGCGTATGCTTTGTGTATTTTAAGTTATTATAAACTTCATCTAACAATTTTATTTTTGTAGACCACTTGAAAAGTCATCAAAACGTCGAACAACAAAAAAGGAATTGATACCAGTTCATTTACGTAACAGTAAAAAAATCTTTGATCCTCGTTTTGATGAACGTTGTGGAGAATATGATGCAAGAACATTTCGTAGAACATATAATTTTATTACAGATCTTCGAAGTGAAGAACTTGTGGTATATTTGCACACAGCTTTATAATATGAAATGAATAACGATGAATATTTTGTTGTAGACAATGAAAACACAATTGAAAAATACCGAAGATCCAAATGAACGATTGAAAATCAAACAAGTTATACAACGTTTGGTCAGTAACTGAGAATATATTAAACATTTTTCATGACTTATGTATAACATTTACTTAGTAGAAGACACAAATAAAGAATGTAGAAGATTTCAAAAAAGAAGAAGAATTACATGAGGAAATTAAAACTCATAGTAAAGAAATTGCTAAAGATGGTCAAGCAACACCTTATATTAGTAAAGGTAGTAGTAAACTTTAAACAAATACTTCTTTAAAAAGAATGCATATTCATTAATTTGTACTTATTTAGACGTAAAAAAAGTGATCAAATTGGCAACTAAATATACAGATTTGAAAAAAAGTGGCAAAGTTGATGCTTACTTATCTCAGAAACGAAAACGTTTGGCAAGTAAACAAAAGAGTAAATTACCATTTAGAAGACCGGTGGACGACGAAATGGAATAATAAAATGATATTTTCCTTTTTTTTTTGTAATAAATCATTGTTATGTTTTAAATACACAGTTGATATTGAAATTTCTCTAAACCTTTTGTATAAATCTACAAATATTTAACATGAGGTTAAATTATACGTTCATGTCATTTGGATCAGTTTTGTCGAGCGTTTGTTATAGATAAATGGGACACATCGTTTTAATTCATGATAAATTTGTCTATCAAACAATTTTTCAAACTATATCAACCACGTTTATCTCATAGATTATTTTCGATCATAAACAACGACGAATCTGACTATTCTCTTTCAACAATGGATAATTCAAGATTAGTTACAGAAGGCAAGGCAAACATTCAATTGCCAAATGGAGAAGTATTTTATAATCCTGCTCAAGTATTCAATAGAGATTTGAGTGTTGCTGTTTTACGATTAGTATCAAAAATCCATTATGAAAATGTACAAAAACGAATTTTAAAAGAGAATCTTAAAAACAATGACAGCTTGCCAGAACAACATAATGATTTATCAACTCCATCTACGGAGTCAAGTACGACAATAGATCAGTTTTCACTAGGTATTTGTCATGAAAACGGATTGCGTATTGCTGAAGCTTTATCAGCCACTGGTTTACGATCGATACGTTATGCGCTTGAAATACCGTTTATCAAGACGATATATGCTAATGATCTTTCCTTGGATGCCTATAATATTATTAAGAAGAATATTGAAACGAATCATGTTGAACATCTTGTACAAGCTTATCATGATGATGCATCAAGTTTATTGTATAATAATCGAAAAAATCAATTTGACATTATTGATTTAGATCCCTATGGGACACCGGCACCGTTCTTAGGTAATGCATGATCAACGAATAAAAATGATTTCTATCTAAGATGTTCACTATTTCAAATTTAGATGCTGCTGTACAAGCGATCCAAAGCAATGGTGTTCTATGCATCACCGGTAAGTGCTATAAAAACTTTTAATACTACACACTTCATTTATGTGTCTCTTTTCTTCTAGCTACTGATATGGCTTCTTTATGTGGAAACGCACCTCAAAGGTAAATTTTCTTGTTGTAGAATAAAAACAATTTTATTGCTATCTTTTGTTACAGTTGTTATTCAAAATACGGTTCAATATCGCTGCATGAAGCGTTTGGACATGAATTTGCACTGAGAATGTTATTGTATACATTACATATGCAAGCATCACGTTATAATCGGTCGATAGAACCATTGATATGTATGAGTATTGATTTTTATATCCGATTATTTGTACGGATTAAACATGGTGTAGCTAAATCACAAGCTCAATTGAATCAGATTGCACATGTTTACAATTGTGTCTATTGTGGATCGTTTCACTTTCAACCATGGGGTATATCATCAACTGATACGAATGGAAATGTGAAATTTAAACAGGCAAATGGACCACCGGTGGGTACAAAATGTGAACAATGTGATTCTAAGTATGTATCTTTTATAGTCAGGGTTTTCGTTACAAATTTTTTGAGGAGGGGGAAGTTCAGGGACTTACTCCAAAGTATGAAATATGAAAATTTGACTTACTCCCACTGAACTTACTTCCAGTTTGATTTACGCCCTTTGAAGCTTAAATACAGGTATTTTCGATTTTTTTATATCATAGCTATAATAAACACGTTTCATAAACGGCTTTTAAAGCTATTAATTACGACAAAATTCATGTTCATTATCTCATTATTAACATACTTTTAGCTTACTTTATCAGGACATTACTTAATCCGTGCTACTTACTCTGGACCTTTGATCTACTTCAGTATTGCTTACTCCGAGTTCCACCTATTCCAAAATCACTTACTCCGAAATCACTTACTCGGAGACCACTTACTCCGAATTTCAAACGAGGGGGGGGATTTCCCCCTCCTTCCCCCCTCTAATCGAAAACTCTGTTTATAGTTAAGCATTTATTTTCAAGAAGAAGGGACATTTCCACTAGAAACTCTAGCTCAGCTGTTTTATATTGATAGTACATTCAATCATTGATTGAATTTGCATTATATTCTTATTGTAGTTTTCGTCTTGGTGGACCAATTTGGCTTGGGCCACTTTATCAGAAAGAGTTTGTGCAAGAATTGATTACATCCGTACAGCAAGCACCAGACGACAGGTTAAGATTTGTTGACATACTTATTGATCTTTTTACTAGAAAGTTTTTCTTTTCAGTTATTCTTATCGAGCTCGAATGCTCAGTATGTTACATGTTTTAAATGAGGAATTACCAAATCCATTGTATTATGTTACCACAAAATTAGCTCGAGCTCTTCATACGTATACACCGACACTTAAAACATTAAGGTATAAATAAGTGAAATGAAATGAGATAAATTTTATGTATTTGTTTTCTTATTTTATAAACAGATCTGCCATAATGAATGCCGGTTATCAAGTATCATCGTCACATTGTAATAAAGATTCGATTAAAACCGATGCACCATCATATGTTATCTGGGATATAATGCGTGCATCAGCTAGAGAAAAATCGTTAAAATTCGATGAGAAAGATGTAAATAATCCATGGTATAAACTCTATAACAAACCGCAAACAATTGAAGTAAATCTTAGTGATCATCCCGACTGGGAGCCAGAAACAAAAAAGAAAAAAATGGGGAGATTTTTGCCAAATCCCACTCCGCACTGGGGACCATTGGGTAGAGCAAAAAAACGGAAAGAAGAAGACGACAAAGAATTGGAAACCGTTTGTGTCAATAAAGAGGTATAGTCGAGTGTTTAGCAGAATTAAATATATTAACTAATCCCTGCTCTTTTTAGGCCAAAGATGGAATTCTCAACTGAGCAGTAACTATGTTATTCTTGTTGTGTTTTTTATATTTTTTTATCACATGTTGATTTTTGCTGTTGTTTTGTTTAAAGAGATAAACTATTTGTCTATTTTTGAACAAATACGTAAAGAATACCGTTACGAAAAAAAGATCTCTAAATATTTCTTCAATGAACCGTTAGTTTATTGCACGGTTGTATTCAATGGGGTCCTGTCGTTGTATGTATCAACATTACTAAATATCAGTAAATTTACTGACCACAATACCTTTAAGTCAAAAGCGAATAAAATAGAAATCTTAAAATAATATCAATTCTGAGAGAGAATTAGTAATGTAAATTAATGAAAGTACAATTATATGAGCTTTAATATTATTCGATAAATTTTTAAACACAATAGTCATCATTATCTGAAATGTTCAGTTGTTTGCCCCTCCATACTCAACCATTCAAATTCTAAGCAAGACAAATGCATTTTTCGTTAATTTATGCTTTCGAATCAGAATGATGTGTAATTAGTGGTTTAACTTGAATTTGTCTACAATAAACTTAGAATAACTATCAAATTAATCAGTAGTTTAGTTCTAAAAGGGAGTGATCGGTAGTGTTACGGAAAGCTTACGAATTAATATAACGACCAACATCATTATTATCAATGTCGCTCACCGTCGTATTTACAACTGACAATCAAACCATAGTTTTCACAAGCCAACTAGGCTATAATTTCAGAAATAAATTTAGTAATACAATATTATTCAATGAAATACGTATACAATAACACGTCTCGATCGTGTTCTGTAGAAGAGAACGTCGAAATAGATGATGCTGAATAATCAAAACTTATCCGACATAAAACACTTTGAATAGCTTCAATGAGAAGTGTGAGTTACTAAAGTGCGAAGTTCTCCTCCAGATATCGATTGTACAACATGAAAACGTAATAAATGATAATCATCTATCTTGTGAAACACAAGCTAAGATAAAAAAAAGATTTTATTAACGTCGACTGCTTTCCCATCTTCGCGAAGCGTAGTTGTGTAAATAACAACCATTGGTTGTTATTTGGTTCTATTCTGTTTTTTTGTTTCTTTTCCATACGAGAAATCGTTGAAGAATGGAGCGATTTAAAGCCTATGAATGGAATAAATAGAGGGCCCAAAAAAATTATGTGAAAATATTTTTTTTCTAAGTGTTCGATGATAAATTACTTTTTCTTCTCAGTTTTTCATTATTTTTTAATCTTCTTTGTAGGATCTATTTGAAAAATCATCGCAATTGAGGTTTCGATCCTGTTTCTACCAATTGTGTGAGTGGAAATCCATTGATTTTATTAACCTTCGTCTGAAAATTATTGCGAAACTGCGCTTTTTACTATACATCATTCTTATATTGAATTGAACGTTCTTTGTTGAAAGATGAGGTAATTATTTTGAATAGATAATAAAAGTACAAATACTGTGGAAATCCATTTAAACGAGGAAAAATACGTGTCGACTGATTTTGACGTGTTATCTCTACGGGATATCTAGTTCAGGACGACCAGAACTGTAGGAGAGCCTTTAAGTCACTGTCCATTAGTTTTTTTTCGTTTGAAACGACGGCTAAACGCGTGTAAGCGAGGAGATAACAGAAACGCGTTCAATCGATGCTTGAAACACGTTTCATACACACAGGGTAAAAACGCGTTTCTCTTATTTCGTCATTTACACACGTCTAGACACCGTTTCAAACGAAAAAAAACTAATGGGTTATGAAACTACTGCGAGGGAATGAGATTCTGTTGAGTCAAAATAGAAAAGTTAGTTGTTATCCATAATATAGAACGATCACCATTAAATTCAATCATTTGTATTATAACAATAACTTTGTATGTGTTTTATTATTTTTAGTTCTCTACGAGTGCAAAAACGACTTGCCTCATCGATTCTTAAATGTGGTAATAAGAAAATTTGGCTCGATCCAAACGAAGCCAATGAAATATCGAATGCAAACACACGTAAGCGCTAAAAATAGAAAGTGGCCAAATTCTTTCCATACTCCAGTCTCTAAAGGAGTCATCATCAGATGAAATGTGAGGTTGCACGTTAAGAATAGAAATAGCATCTCATATATTACTGAGTAGGACCTCTTGAGAATTTCGATCCCTTCAAACAATCATCGGTCTTTGATCTTCATAGCATTGACCGATACACTGGAAGGGTATAACATACGTAGATTGTCATTCTTCCTCAGCGGTTTGTTTGCGCGATCGCTAACAGGGCATCCTACAAACACATTTGATAGTAACTGAAATTCATATGCACCATGCGCATTTCTCAGTGGAAAGAGATGACTTTTGTGTTACTTTATCATCAGATGAAATGTGAGGTTGCACGTTAAGAATAGAAATAGCATCTCATATATTGCTACTTAGGACCTCTTGAGAATTTCGATCCCTTCAAACAATCATCGGTCTTTGATCTTCATAGCATTGACCGATACACTGGAAGGGTATAACATACGTAGATTGTCATTCTTCCTCAGCGGTTTGTTTACGCGATCGCTAACAGGGCATCCTACAAACACATTTGATAGTAACTGAAATTGACGAACTCAGATGCACCATGCGCATTTCTTAGTAAGAAGAGATAACTTTTGTTTTACTGTTTCAATTTATTAGGTCAAAGTGTACGAAAATTAATCAAAGATGGTTTAATCATCAAAAAACCAGTTGCTGTACATTCACGTTTCCGTACAAGAAAGAATAATGAAGCACGACGTAAAGGTCGTCATATGGGTCATGGTAAACGAAAGGGTACTGCAAATGCCCGTATGCCAACGAAAGTATGTCGATTCTTCTTCTTTCTTTAAAACAAACTTGAAATTAAATATGCATCATTTCGATTTCATGCCACTGAGTTTAGGTATATGAAACCTCCCCACAGAAGAGGAAAGACTGTTATGACAAACATTTAGAATCCTAACCTATGTAGATCTAAAGCTGCCTTAATACTGCTCAAGTTTGAGTCTGCATTATTTCTCTGAGATTCATCTTCGAGAGTCTTGCTACGAAACAGCGCACATTTGTTTATATTTCTAGGTTTTATGGATGCGTCGTATGCGTGTATTACGTCGATTATTAAAAAAATATCGTGCTGCAAAAAAAATTGATCGCCATTTGTATGTATTACTGATAAATACTCATTATGCTGTTTGTCTGCATTTGTTTCTGTCTTTTAGATACCATGAACTTTATCTAAAATGCAAAGGTAATGTTTTCAAAAATAAACGTGTATTAATGGAATTTATTCACAAGAAGAAAGCAGAAGTACAACGATCGAAAATGTTAAGTGATCAAGCTGTTGCGCGTCGTGAACGAACAAAAGAAAAACGTACACGTCGTGAACAACGTATTCAGCAAAAACGTAGTGAATTTATTGGAAAACATGATGATGGTGTAGCTGATGATACTCAACCCGGTGTTCAAGCAGCAATTCAAGAATCTGTACAACAACATCAACAATCAACAACAAAAAGTGGCGAAAAAAAGAAATAAACATGCACAGTCGTTTGTTTATGTAATGTAAAAATTACTATTGTTTTTCAAAATAAATAAGAGGAAACATCTGTTCTTTGTATTGCTATTGTTTTTAGTATTACATTTATCATTTTTCATTGGGTTAAATTGTGAGAGAAACATAAAATTAGATTTTGTTTTCTTCATGTGATTATAGAAAAACAAATATTATACGAACATGTTTCTGGATAATAAAACAGTTGATGTTGTTGCTTACTTTTTTTAAAAGAATTTATTCTAGTTGTATAATCGTATCGAACTAGTTAAATTACCAGAAAGTTATTTTTGATAACTAGATGATAGTTTTTGCCAATTTGACCAGAGTAGCATAACAACTAAAAGAGATAAGTAAGGGTAGCGTTTTTGTTGGTTTTCAATCGATGTATGCTACATCTTTAACAATTATCAGCGTAAGTTTGAAATTTCTGTAGTACACGAAGATCAGTACGTCTTACGCTGCTAAAGTAGCTACATACTGGCTGATAACTAACATACAAGTTTGAGAGAAAAAATACAAGACACAATTTGTACTAATATTTTACTTTAGTTCCTGCGCAACAAAAGTTTCAAAGAAAACAGAAATACTACAGCATAGTTGATTTAAAAATGGTTTCTTGTCATTCGAAGGTAACATAAAATCAAACATTTTCGTCTTTTATGCTATGTGAATCAACTCCATTGTTAAGATATTTAACACTAAATATTTTCTTTGATTCTACAAGATGGTCAAGTTATATTAACGCCTAATTGGAACGTGTATTTTATACAAAATAAGTTGAATAACAATTAATTTTTATCTTGCCCTTGTAGCATATTTAATTTATAGATTGCACTATTTTATAAACATGTGTAATGCTATGGTGATGGGTAACGATCTTTAAATTCTTTGAATGCTTATCAATATGCAGAAGAGTCTGACTTCCTTAGCTGAATTTGATGATAGTTCTCATCCTTGTCGATGTCATACTCAATGGTATAGGATTTAGCCTATTTGAGCTGAAAAATAGCGATAATTTTCTCTAGTTCGGTTTATGCCATTCACATATTCAGCTATCTATCGAATTTTTGTCACAAAAATGTTGTGATTGACTTCTACTAGTATATTTCTTTTTCATATTGGATATGGAAGAGTGGGAATATAGACATTATAGCATGTAGAACGAATTAGATCTAAATACGTGCGGAAACATCTATTCGCAACTAAAACGACTACAAATTTAAAGCCAATCAGCATATTCTGTTCATTACCGGAGAATGTGCTTAGTTGTATACATGCATTCCTAGTATGATAGTCTGACACGTGGGATTCAATCATGATGATAATGTAAATGATCGAAGCTACAATTTTCATATGTTTGAGTTACGGTCGTCTCTTGTGTAAACTAAATAAGGTATTGTATCTTTTAGAAATGATCGGTGCTTCGAACAATTGAGACCTGGTTGAACAAATCTAGAGAACTCTTTGGTAGACTTTTTAGTAGATGTTCGATTTTGAAATGAATTTCAAATAGGTTATGATCCAAGATAGTCAAAGACATATCAGAGAAGTAAACACAACAAACATTTATAGAATGCAAGACAATGGTTAGCACACAGTAGAGCTGTGGGATATATTAAGAAAGTAAGTAGCGGGTTTATTTTAGAGCTGATTAAACATGCGATTTTAGTGATGGCGGATAGACTGTTGAAACCTCCTCTGTGTTCTTGTGCTTGAAATAAAACGACATATATCCCGAAAACTTGAAGTGAAAAGCAAAATATCAGGATTTTATTTCTTGGGAAGAAGGGAAGCAAGCAAAATTACAGGTTTAACCGACCTCTTCCTTTACAATAAGAAATTGAATTACGCGATAGTCTCGATGTAATTTCTTCACTTTTTTTGTCTTACTTTTTATGACATGTATCGGAGAGAACATGTGTATGAAGATCAAATAATGTGATAGCGTTATATTCGCAATTTTGCTTTCTACATCGGTATTAGTATTAATAACGTGAACCGTTACCTATTTTCCTTTACCTTAAATGTATAAGCAACTGTATCATCCATCATTCACCTAACAAAAGGAAAAAATCATTTTTAACTTGATCATATTTAAAATACCTGAATCAATTTTCTCATATTATTAGAGAAAAGGAAAGATGTTGAGTGATGAATCAACGGCAAATTTAAATTTAGAATCAAACGAAGGTAAATTTAGCTGATAATAGTTGTATTTTGTACTTTATGCTCAGAATCCGTTCTAATAACTACACCATCAATATGCAAACTGAATGCTAATTTTTATAATAATTTATAATAATTTTTATAATAACTCTTCATTTTGAAATTATATTGCCCATCAAAAAAGAAATTGATAGGCAATATAATTTCAAAATGAAGAGTATAGTAACAGAAGTGTTTTCTAATTTCATGATTTATCTTAAATTATATTTCGACGTTTCGAACTATAAAAAGGGCATTTTCAAGAAGAAACAAAATGCAACTCATTTGTGGACAAACTAATTGGGTCCTAGTTGCTAAAAAACTATATAAACATTCAGATACCATTACTAATAATACGGACAAAATTACCGATAATACTCACAAGAAACGATTAGTAGTAGACATTTCCTACGTAAAAAATTCATTTAAAGTTTTAAGTAAAAAACTCAAAAGTTTCATAAAAACAATTAAACCAGAAATCGGTTTAAAAGTATTTTGAGACCACCAAAACCGACCTCTTATTTCCAGACAAAAAACAAAATTTCCAAATTGTTACAATCTGATTTAGTTTATGGAATCAGTTGTAGGGATTGTCATGATATTTATGGTGAAAAACCAATTAGACAGTCTTACAGGTAGCTGGTAGAGCATGGTACTTCAAAGAGTCTCTGCAAACAGCGTGTTTTTTCTTCATGTTATGATGTCCTTTCAAATTCTAACACACAAACTCTTTCAGAACGGCTCAAAGAACCTTAGTTAGTGCTTTAAATTCATCAACTAAAATTAAATAATACAGTACATTCGGTTCCTCTTTCCATATGAAATTCCTAAAAAACTAATACTAGATCCCCTAAGCTACATATGTTCATCCTAATAGCATATTATTCTATTTTACAGTTCTCTCCTTTTTATGCTCTAGACACATTATTTTCGTTTCCTCACACAGTATATAAATACTAACGAGGGGACCTCACGAACTGCTAATTGTCTGAGTCTCTTTAAATGTTTCTTGAAAGTCAATCCTATCGTAGTTCTCTCTTTTATATTTCGTTCTTTTTTTATACGATGTACTTTTGTTTTCTTAGTATCTCTCAGTAATAATGATCCCATCAATAGTGAAGAAGCTGTTAAAAGAACGATAACAGTACCAGAAGCATTAGGTCTTGATTTTCATTCATTTACTCCCGAGAAAGACAGTTTATTGCAAGTTCATTTCATCAGTAATGTTGTTCCATCGTCTGATGCTGAACAAGCCGGATTAAAAAATGGCGATCGACTATTACAAATAAATGGCATTGATATAACACGTTTAGAACACGAAGATGTACGTAAATTATTGCAAATACTAAGACCATTGGCGTTAACTGTAGAAAACAATCAAAAATTTTTGAATTTATTGAAAAGTATCACACAGACAGGTAATGCACAGCTGTTCTTGATGTTTGGACTCATGGATTTTGAATTTATGTTGTATTCGTAGATATTGTGGTGGAACAACAAGTTTCCACTGAAAGTCAATCACCCGTAGAGGAGAACCCACCAACAGGAACGAAAGATAGACTTGAACGAAGAATATCTAAAACGACTTCGGTAAATGGCAAAAGTACCAATGAAAGTACAAATGCAAAAACATGCGATAATCTTCTTCTTCATACGGACGATTTAGGTTCGTTGAAAGTTAAACGGTGTTTTCTGCGAAGAAGTCGAAATTATGATGGTTATGGGTTATTACTACAATATCACCGAAATTTACATCTGATTGGTAATGTTGAAGAGTCGAGTCCCGCATACCATGCTGGTATAAGAGAAAATGATATTATTTTGTTTGTATCAAAGAAGAATGTTGAAAAATTAACACATGATGATGTGAAAACTCTTATTCGTGCATTGTCATTAGCATCACACGAAGTTGAATTAACCGTAATAAATAAGAGTGATATGGCCAGATATAAAGATTTACAACAAAAAAATCTGATCAATTGGGGCAATTTAAATTATATACTCTAAGTGGAACATTCTATGCATTATGATGACAGCAATATTCTAATAGAATTTGACTAGACAAAATAAATTACTGTTACTGACATACAGTGACGTAATAAAAGTATCGATCATTTATGTCTACATTTGTGTTTATTTTGAACTGACACCACTTTATCCTCATATAGAAGCACTTCGTGTATAGTCTCTTAATACTACGTGTATACAAATATAGTAAAAACAATATTCTTGAAAATGAATCTAGTATTTACTTGATATCAATTATTTTATTTAAAAATGAAAATGAATTCATCTTGTTATCTAGAAGATTCTCTTCGAAAGTACTTTAGTCGAGATATTGTGATGATAATGATATTTTGAATATTGTATGTTATTAAATGTTAAATACTTTTTTTTTATAACTGTAATCGTTTACATTTAATGGCATAAGAACTAAGTCTACAAAAATAACAGAATATAATTTTAAAAATAGATCTCTAATATAGTACACTTAATAAATTAATTATATTTAAAATAAATTTTTAAACCAATTGGATATTTTTTTAACGCTTTTTGAAAACCAATTTATTTTCGTTGACTGTTGTATTATTCGAATTGAAATTGTCGTTCCATTTTGTGCACTCGATGTTGGCAAAAATTCTAAATAATTTTGTTCACTTGATGTCCATTTTAGACTGTTAGTTGGTGTAAGAACAATATCATATCCATTAGGATAATTTAATTCTTCATTTAAGAAAATAATTGTTGGTTGTTGAATAGATGTATTAATAATAAAACGAAGTTCAAATGTTGATGATTCAGGATAATAGATGACCAATGTTGGTAAACCTAAACAAAAATGATATGTTGTAAAAATAAAATAGATCTTTTTAATTAAGTTTTACCTGCAATTGCTTGTGCATAGGTTCGTGATAACGCTTTTACTTTATTGAGTTCTAATTCTCCATTTTCATCATAAAATGATTCAGTTGTTGCCGGACTAGCTTGAGTTGTTAAATCTTGATATTTTTTAAATTGCCAATAGGCCCAACTTTGTAGACTTTGATCAGCAATTCCTGTTATTCGATTTATTTCACCAATTCCTTTTGATGAATTTGATAAAGCTCCAAACTCAGTCATCATCATTCCACCCAATTGTTTTCGTTTGGCTTCTGATACACGCATTTCTATTAATGCTGTATCAGAAATATCACATACTAAATCAGATTTTGGTTCTCCTCGTTTATTGACATCAAGACAATAGACATGATAACTAAAAACTTGTCGATCATTATATTTTGGTCCACCAGGACCTTGTGTAAAACCCGTTTGAGCAACATCGAACACACATGGCTCATAAAATATTAAATGTTTATCATCAACTGTTCGAATAACATTATGAAGATTTTCATACATTGGTTTCAAATAGACGCGATCGACTAAACCAAGTTCAATAACATCAACAATGCTTGGAAATGCTGGCTCATTGATCAATTCGTAACCCAGTATGGATGAACGATTGACAAATGTTGTAGCAACGGTTTTCCAAAATGCTGCTAATGCATCTTGTGTCCCATTTTGATTAGTAAATCTAAAAAATAATTATTATTTAAATAAAATATTTAATTCTAATTCTCTTTCATACTTACAACATATTGAATCCAGATGCAACAGCATCTGTTAAATAATATTCAGCAAATGTACGATTTAAACATTCCGTGAGTAGAGGATAACCAGTAGTAGGATCACGAGTTATATTGTTTGCTAATGGAAATGGAAATTCTTTATATTGACCCTTGTTTTTTTCAGCAATCCAATCTAAAAATTTAATAATAATATTTCATGAAAAACGATGAATTAATTTATTTTATTTTAATATTTACCTGGTACTCCTTCACCACAGAAATAACGTGAGAAAACATCTTGATGATTGTCTAATAATGTATAGATACCATGATTTTCCATCATTGTGACCGCTGTTTGTAGTTGTGATAAATAATTTTGATCAATAGTTGTTGGTGTGGGTGCAACACCCATCCATGACACATAAAATCGAACAACATTAAAACCCCATTTTCTTAAATTTGTTAAATCAATATCTGATAATGAATCTTGTGGAGTAAATCCAGTTAATTGTGGAATATAAGGTGGTACTTTATAAACGACATTGACACCATGAAATATTCTAACACGTCCATATTCATCAACAAATTGTTGTGTTTTAGGATCAACTTGTATAAGTGGTAATGACGCTTTAACAATATTCACTGTATATATAATTGTAATAAATAATGTACAGAGAGAGAATAACATGTTTTGATCTAAAATCAATGGATTTCTTTGAACAATTTTTTTTCTACTCAGATTTTTAATATATTTGGATTGTTAAACTAATTCTAGATTTTTAATATAAACATGAAAATGAAAGACTATTGCATTAAATTTTGTAATCCAGCGTCACAATCATAACATTTCACTTACAAATGTACACTCACTAAGAAATAAAATATATTAGACTAATCTTGTTGTTTTATTATTGTTTTATCAGACAATGTACCAAGTCGTCACTTTGAAAAGCAGCTGTTTATTCCCAATTGAGTTTTATCGGATGTTTTATTAGGCTTCTATGCCTTTTTTTTGCATAAATAAAGAAAACTAGTTTAAGAAACATTGATATGCAGAAATTGTTTGAATTCAAGTCGTACAAATATTATAACTGATACCAGCCTTCGTCATATTATATTTAACGTCAAAAATTTCCTCATTTTAATCATAAGACTCTTCGACTGTCGACACATAGAATGCCAAGTAGTTGAAAAATTAGCGCAAAACGAAATAAAATCGTTACATTACAAATTTTACGGGTTATAAAAATCTTTCGAAAATTTCGGCTAGAAAGTCAAATTAGAAGTTAACCCCTAATAGAAGATCACTCTAAAAAGTTTGATCTACTGAGATGGAATAGAAGGCTATGCCCTTCTATTTTGGCGAAGAGGGGAGATAATTGATGCTTACATCAATCCCATATGTTTTCTATATCAGCAATTACGAGATTTTTGTTAGTAAAGGAAACAGAAAATGACAAACAAGATAGTAAAAATCGTATATCAGGTGAAAGACTCAGGATTTATGTTCATTCATCCATGAATCTACAAAAAACAACAACAATACCTAAGAATTAAAGACATTACTTTTATCTAGCGGAACTGTGTACATTAACAGTGTGCAAAAAATGTCATATTCTATTATTATCAACACAAGAAAGCATACAATTTCCATTTATATATTTGAAGGAGTTTCACACCAGTAGAATTTTCTCGTTAATTGTACTTTTTTTTCATTTTGTTAATCAATTTTCTTCTTCCTCATATTCTTCGTCAATATCGTCTTCTTCAAATATTCTTGTTTTTTCTTCTTGTACAAGCCTTGCTTGCTTTAATCGCTCTTCATTTTTCATTCTAGAACAAAAAACAAAGGTAGTATATATATATATGTAACAACGATAAGTAAAATCCAGAAGAAATTAAAATTTTTTAGTTGGTTCTAGTAACTATGTTTGATCATTCTATTTTAATCTTTACCATTTACGTAGTTTGAACAGACACTTATTCAAGATCGAAAGGATTTCGCACTATTGGGCAAATAACAGTGAATTTATTTCCAAAACAAACGATCTGGTTTGAGAACAAAAACAAAATATATATCTATTTGAGCACAATTTTTTTTGTCTAAGGATGTTATAGTTGCAACTCTAACAAATATAAAGTTCACACCCATTTAATGCAATAAAATGAAGTAGTAATTGTTCTTTGTCTTTAATACGAGACGTACTTATGGTAAACATTTTGGCTCGATTTGATAAAGTTTTAGGAGGATCATAATGAAGATTTCCAGAAAACTTAAGAATTGTTGACATCGTAGATGTGAGAGTGATCTCAAAAGATGAACTAAAGTCTTTTGCATCGGGTGAAGAAAAATAAAGTTTCTACACTTTAATGTTTAGTCCATTTTCACTGGAAGCTGCGCAGAGCGGCTGTAGAATCCTCAATTGTACGAAGAACTTTTTTATTTTACTTCCGATTTTAACAAAAATTCCTATAAACATATATGATATCACATGATACTGGCACAATAATTTTTTCGGTTCGCAACCTATAACCATTCTCAAAATTCGAAGAAACAAAAGACAAAACAAGTATTACTAAAAACTGCTTTCAGATCACAAGTTAGAAATGTCACGATGACTTTAAGAGCTATTAAAGACACGCCACAACCTACTATCGTACAATGCTGATCAATCAACCATTTCACATTTTGTTCAAAATAAAACTTCTTCAGAGCAAATATTTTGATGAATTATGGCGAAAACTGCAGATCTATAAGCTGTTTCGTTGCTGAGGTATTCAATTTCCGAAAACGTACGAATTCTGACATCTTAGGAAACTGTCATTTTAAACTTCTTACAATTCGTAACGATACATTACTTAGACAGAGCTCAAATCACTGATCTGTACCTTTTGGAGGACGATTCTCTCACCCCCTGTTATACTGTTATAGTACACCATGCACACTATGATGAGGTTTTTGGAATCGTTTAAAACCCATGGAAAACCAGGTGAGCTTTCTAGAAAACCAAAACATGAAATTTTCAACTGGATTTGAGGTTTTCAAGTCAATCATTTTGATGAACATATTAAGTTACACATGTTAAGCTGTTTTTACAACAATTCAGTTAGTTTTGATGGAATCAGAAACTTTTCAAGTATTGATTAAAAGCATACGTATATGTGAGATTTGTACTAGATTTGTATCGCCTAGCTTTATTAGATGGTTTCCTATAAAGTTAAGTTTAGTGTATTTTTCATGGGGTATGACGAGTTTAATCTCACGAGACGTTGTGAACTGAAAAACTCTTGCGGGAGATTTTTCTAATAAAATTCATTTTTCGCAAGAACGACAAAATGTTTTGAGCCGCAGCTTCGGGCATATGCTGTACATCGCCAAAGGAAAAAAAGGATATGAGGCTTGTTTTCAGAAAAGGTAATTGTCACTTTTTACAGTAAAGAGCTGCTGCTCTTAGTGGTAATGAATTTAAATGAATTTAAACAGACTTTCTAAAAGAATTCTAAAAAAATGAATTTAAATAAGCTTTTTCAACAAAAAAAAAATTGATTTAAATGAATTTTTGCATTAAAAAAAAAATAAATGGAAAAAAGTGGCACATTTCTTTAAAAAGTGCTGCAATGGGTAACGTAAGTCAAAAAAAATATAAATTTTGTAAAACTTATATGAAGAATTGGAACGGCAGTTGTATGATAGAATCTGCTAATTTAATTCTATCGCATTCGATTTATGTAATACATATTTTAATAGAGTAACATTAGTTAAAAGACGTTATACAATTTTGAGGGATTTTTCTTCACCCTGCAGTCCATTTCCACTTTTCCGATGGAAAAATATGTCCCGATCGGAAAACTTTCTTAATCGGGACAGATGTTATCTCATGAACCATAAGTCGTCTAGAATGCGGACAGTTTTTATTCTGCTGCTTAGCTGTTTTAAATTTGCTCTATATGAAAAACTAAAGCTCCTCTTCGATCGTCGGTGTGATGCGAAACAAACTTCTTGTTGTAACATCGCTTTTTTTATTTCCCAATGAGAAAATAGGACAGGATATTTTCTGTTCGAGAAAGATCAATTATTTCCCGATCGGAAAATGGTGCGATACTATGCATTGTATTTTTCTTAACGCTCGTTTCCACTTTTTGAGTGTTCATAAATTAACTGCAGAGTTCTTGATGGCTCTCATCACTCCAGAGTGAATGAAAGAAGTTCTTGCTTGACAACGTTTATTATTGACATTCTTTGTAGTACACACTGGATCTAGTTATATTCCATATATTAATCACTTGAAGTCTAGTCAGCAGATATTTCTTCCGCTTCTAGAACTCGATGACATATGTTTATAATTCTGCATTCTTCCTTTTTCTTAAATTCACCTAGCACCGCGTCAGTCAATATAGTTTTTCATGCTCTTTCGAATAGATCCAACCAGAACATGTGTAGAAGGATTATAAAATGCGCTGAAGGATTTCAAAGTAGACATGTCGAAGTATGTCTCAGATGGGATAGATTCCGCTTTCCCGATCAGGATATATTGTCCAATTGGGAAGTACATCTTTCTTGAACGAGAAATATTTCCTGTTCGGGACATAACTCTGGAAACGGACTGCTCAGTATGCAAAACGTCATTCTGAAGGTTTCCATCGTCTGGATTTTCGACATTTGAGATGCGATACTATTAGTGTCAGAAATTCTCTTTAAGAAATTTGTCATAATGAAACCAGTTCGTAAAAAAGACCCATTGTACTACAAATACATGAAACTTTATAGGAACTTCACTATATCGATAGTTTTATGTGCTCTTTTTAAATATGACCTTCTTAAACAGCAAAAGAATATGTTAAAGCCATATACCTAAGCAATTTTGGCAAAATAGCCACATTGTGAGTATAGTTTGTTTATTGTTTTCTCCTCAAGGACATTCTTCACATAAAAAGAAATATCATATTCGCTATCTACATAAGAAACTGAGCTGAATGAAGTAATATGTTTTCTTAGCAACTTCCTTTTCTATTGGAAAGAAATCCCTGAGAATAACAGAAACATAATAAAAAATATTCTTTTTTTAAACGTTAATGAAAAAGGTATATTCGTCTCAGTTTCCCCATAATTGATGAACTAAGCTCCTGCTCGTTCTTTCAGATGAACTTTGACTATACCTAATATTAGTTTACAATGAAACGGTAATGTCATTTCTATCCATTGGTTCTGTTTTAAAACTGGCACTAATTTAAATGATGATGTTATTGGGTTCAGTATAGACAAATGATCCGACGATCGTCTGGGATTTGTTGCTGTTGCCAATTTTTGTTGATTTGTAGATACTTTAGTAATATCAGACGATGTAAAAAATCGGATACAATCAATAATGACTTCAACAACATCAAAAATGGTCACATTTGAATCTTTAAAATCGAAATTAAATATATCTGGCATAAATATCACTTCCGTATAGACAACAAATCGTTGACGTTGATCATTGATAAATTCTTGAAATATCCGTTGTAACATGCAATAATCATCTTGATATAGATCTTGTATTATTTGATCATAATTTTTTGACATATACAAATTTGTTTGACTATCGTAAAACAGAAAATCTTTTGCCACAGCAATACTTTTCAATGTTTTCTCTCTGATAGCACCATGTAAACGAATATTTAATTCAATTTTTGGATAATGAATGGTAGCATCAAATTTTTCCAACCAATTTAATTGACAACATGTTTTCAGTTCGTTTTTAAATTCCCTTACACGATCAATCAAACTTTTATTATAAGAATTTTGAAACAAACAGAGTGAGTTTAGACTTGAATTTTGTGAAATACATTCCAATTCCGTAACGAATGATTGATTTTGTTCTTCATCCTGATACTCTTCAAATTTATCTTCATATTCATTGTCAAAATCATCACTAATAGCATCCATCGGAATAATTTTAACGAAAACACTTTCTCATGTGGAATATTGATCTCATTTGCTTCAAATTAAAATTCAAAAAAGAAAAAAGTTATTTAAAGCGCAGGAGAAAAGCTCTTGAATCCTATTGCTTTTTGCGTTCTGGTTGCTGGGTAATATTTATCAAGCGTATTGTTATTTCATACCCTCAGTTTTCTGTTAGAACCTCTTCCATGAGAACGACAACACATGAAGCTATAGTCCTACCTGGATTAGTACAGAGATGTTAGCTGTACCGTCGTCTAACATTCTTCTACAGAAGAAATACTTGTAACATGTAAAATGTGTTTCAAATGAATAATACGATTATTTTTAAGAGAATTCGTGGCAGCAGTCAGCATTTCTAGTTTAATAGTCTATATAAATCCAGTCGTTGTTTTCTTCTTACGACGGTCAAGTAGAGCCAACGATGAAAGACATCTAGCATAGCGACCTTCATTGTTTAGACGTCTGCAGTCATGCCCATTACCAATACCTAACACCAAGCTCATGCTTCCATTAGTATCCATTGGACAAGGTACGTGTTTTTAAATTTTTTGTCGATGAGCTTGGATTTGGTTTTTTTTCCAGGATATTAGAATCGGTCAGAGTTTTCTGTTTTGAAGATTACCAATAAAATTCCTGAAAAAGCTCTGTTTTAGAAAAGTAATCAAGTTTTAGTTTAGTAAAAATTTGATTATATTTCAATGAAACAAACATGTTATTTCCAGCAATGTTCTATTACTTATTTTGTTTTATCTAATTAATCAACTGCTTTTGGTCTGCTAATAAAAAAATTCCACCACTAACCAGTCTTGTTAGGAATGGTTATCTACTGCCGTACTCGTGTCCATGCTTACTCATGGGCGAAGGCGTGATATTTTTAAAATTTTTTCCCATGGATATGAGCCATCTTATCACTTGATCGAACAACGAACAAGCATTTTCATTGGTTGTCCACAGAACTAAGTACCTCAGAATGCAATCTATTTTCACTTGAGTTGAGAGCTTAACATTTCTAAGTTTTAGATATAATAAATGTAATTTTTCGAATGAAAACACATGAAAAGGTCAAAAAGATTTCTTGACGAGAATGACGTTCATAGATTTATCTGTCGAGAAGCTCCTAACCCATCAAACCTGTGTGGCGTCGTCTTAACGGTTCGGTTCTAGGTCTAAAATATGTCAGGCTATTCCATTTGACTCGAACTTCAGCTACTTATCTTAAGCGTGATTTGAAAAACTTTGATGTTTAGCTGATTTTCGTAACGTCTCAAATAAGATACAAATTATATTCACAAGTGAGATACAATCCATATTTTAATCAAGTATCTCAATTGAGAAACCATTATTTCTGTGAAAATATTCATTTCTCAACTGAGATACAATTTTGACACGTGCGTTGAAACGTATTCGCGTCGACCACCGTATCGACGGACAGCAGCGTGTGCGCGGCGCCCGGCAGCAGTGTGAGGATCTGTAGGTTCAGTGCGCCGACGGTGTCGTCCTTCGGCGCAAGGATCGCGCACTCGCACAGCCAGCGCACAAGTGCTGCGCAATGTCCGGGAACACCGCTGCGCGCAGCGAGTCGACCATGTTGCAGAAGCCCGCGGGGAAGCGCACCAGCCCGCTCGTGTCTGCGCCAGCAGCTGCTGCACAAAGCATCCCTAGCATGCATCGGCGCGCAGGTGCACGCGCATGTTCGTTGTAATACGCAGTGCATCTATGAAAGAGTGCAGCGTACAAAGGTCTATTATTCAATAGTTCTCCAAAATCTACAAGAATTACAGCGTTTCACGCCATTTTGCATACTCACGATGGAACCGCCCTAATTGCCAAATTGCTTTTTGGGTGAAACCTGAAAAATACGAGCGTTTTAGCTTTTTCGAGTTCGAAATTCGAATTAAAAGCAGGATTTAAAAAAATCCGTCAACACAAAGGTTCTTAAGAATCACATCCTGTACAAGTAACAAGTGAAAACAACAAACTGTAAAAAAATTGGAACTTTTGCTGAAGGAATCTTGTAATACGGTTTTTGTATCTTTCACTCAAGGAGGGGGGAGGGGGTCTTCTAATATGTCCGAATGTGCGAATTTGTGTATGTTGATAGTCATCAAGATTTGGCTTAGTTTTGCGAGCCTAATATTCTTATTAATCAAAAAATTGGACAATAATGTTAATATCTTTAAGACTTTTGCTTTTTCTTAATCGAACATGGCTCTTTCTACTTTCCTTATCTTATCTTATTACAATTTTTCTTTCATGGTCAAACGGGGCTCGTAACAGAACGGTATAAAAAATAATTTCTAAACAGTATTAACAAATAAAATGCAACAAATTCTATTTTTGCTAGTTTTGTTCACTATCTATGTTTTGACAGAAAGTTTTTTGTCAAAAAAGGATCCAACGAAAACGACAGCTAAAAAAAGAAGCCGGGCATATATGACGTTCCTTTTGCTATAAAACATGTTTCTCAGACTATCTGTTGTTGTTCTTTTTAAGTAAAATGTTCAATTACAAAAAAGGAAAAGTAGCAGTTGTGTTGGTGACACAATTGATATTAATAAAGATTTTGTTGCGCAATTAAAAAATTTGATGCTATTGCTAAACAATGCGGCATTACATCGGCTATTAAAGGAAGTTATAAGCGATCAACATTTAATACGACACGTGCTGAAAGATATGATACAAGTGATATAAAGCCTGGTTTTATTAATGACGCAAAAATCATTCAAGAAGTTTGCAGAAATTTAAAATTTTGAATACATTCGATGGTAGGAGATGAAAAACTGACGTAACGAAAATGAAAAATTATTCGAAGATATTTTTTATACGAAATTTTTTGTTTTTTGATGTTGAGAATTAGTGTATATTTTAATGTTCTTTATTAGAATGACAAAATTATGAGATTTTGCGCAATACAAATTCTAAAATATGTGAAGAAATAACGATCTGGTGTGAGAGAAGATGAAATCTATTGAATCTAGATGCTTCTGAGAGAATCAGTACTGAGAGTGTACTTACTTCATCGCAGAGCTCGTTTCATGTGCGGCAAACAGAGTGGAATGCTCTATCGCAAACGAATAGTATAAAGTATTCATTTTTAATTTGATCAACTATCAGGACTTTCAAGATTGATGTGTTATTTGATGTCTTTCTTAATTCAGTTCTGCTTTAAAAAACGATTTATTTATAATTACAGTACAATAACTAATTTAGGTCAAAAATATTTATTGAGAAATACAGTGATATCAAATGAAACAATAATAATATATAGCGAGTACTTCAGTTTTGTCAACAAAAGAAATGAAAGGTGTTATCTTGTTCATATCATCAACAAGAACACATACGTTTATATTAATAGTCAGTTATTCTATTTTTTATAATATCTTTTTTTTTGTATTATACGGTGCAAAACCTCTGAATATTAAAGAGCATACCAGTTTATAGGATGGTAAGTCCTTATTATTATCTGCTTAATTATGTTGTGTCCGTTGTCATTTTGTGCTTACTAAAACTGCAGCAAAAGTATGAAAAAAGTTGTTGATAAAATAAATCTGTTCTGATCACATTTTATAGAACTCAACATATCCACGTTCGGACCTATCACTGACGAAATGTGCGCCACTAATGGTTATTTACTTCGTGTGCTGGATATCATCATATTTTATACTTGGATGGATATCCGATTTCTTCATACCTACTGTTCGGTTCGTCATTATTAACTGTTTTATAAATAAAAAGGTTTTCTATTATTATTTTTATAGAACACTGAAACCAAAAGAACGAATGTTTTGGCGACTAGCATGTGTTCGTGGACTATTAGGTTTCATGACTATCTGGGGTAAGAAGTTGAGTCTTTTAATAACAGATTATTTAATTACTTAATTTGTTCTAGCAATTCGTATTGTATTTATCGAAAATGATCTCAATACTAATCGTATATATGCATCTACGGATGAATCATGGCGATTAATGACAATAATGTTACCATACTTTATTTTTGAAGAAGGATCATTACTTTATTTTGATTACAGATTCAAAACATTTTCTAAAGAATTGCATTTACATCATATTTTAGCATTTATAGGTTTCTATTTTAACTGCTATTGTCATACACAACATTTCTATGGTTTGAAAATATTTATTCTTGAAATGTCCACACCGTTTTCATGCATCTGTTTTTGTTTATTAAAATTAAGAATGGAACGAACATTGGCATGGAAAATCAATCAATTGATTCTTATTTATGTATTTCACTTCAGAACTGTGCTGGAACTCATGATATGGTATGATATTTACAATGACTGGAGTTATTTCAAAGAACATTCACCATTTTTACAAATGGCTAATGTATTAATTGGGTTAATAGCACTCACATTTTGGTTAACACCCTATTGGACATATAAGAAAACCGCACAGTTCTTCCATCCTGTTGACTGGGATCTACAAAAAAACACTGAAAAACAATTACTGAGAAAAAAAGAAGATAGCAAAGAAAACTGAAACCCCATGTCTGTTGTAAATAGTTTATACCATCAAATCATAAATATACTAATTTGAAAAAATATGATCCGTTTGTCTTTCTAATAATAACGATAGACTCAACATTTTACGTTTTTTCCAAAATACAAACATAGAAAAAATCCCTCTTTATAAGTACTCTACGCCCATTATTATTTAAAAATACTTTTAGTTATTTAAACTTTATGTGTCAGTTCTTATAACAATATAACGTGTTTGATATATAGATGTATTCACGCAGCATCTTCAGATTTTACATCGATCTCGAGTCGCCAACTTTTCCTTATGTTAGGTGCGTAGCCCGTGTCGAATTATGTACGAATTCATATTTGTTTTCTCTACAAGTCATGTCCCACCGACATGGTAATAGCCTAATTCTCCAAAAATCCCCTACGGGATCAGCCCCTTTTTATCTGAAATAATTGTTTTGAAAAAAATCTGACTTGACTCTTCCATAGAGGGCAAAAAGTTTTACATAAAAGGTAATTTTCCCGGTTCTAACTCTGAAACTAGCCAGATGGATGTAGCAAAACTAATGGAAAACCACCATTTTTTTAATTGCTTACCAAACAGTCAAGAAATTACGGAACATACACTTATTTATAGTCAAAATGAAGCGTGAGTTATGCTCTTTTTAATGACACAAGAACCAAGTCTGGAACTTACTTTGGTTCTGATTATAGGTTCTGGAAATTGCTATGAAATTTTGAAAATCGCAAGCTTTGAGCACGGTTTTCTCCAAAATTCACCATCACAATTTTCTTCAAAATTGTTTTATGAAAGCATCTCACCCTAGTACCACTATACTGTTCCAAAAAAAGGTGAAGACTTGATTCTTGTGTCAGTCGATAGTCCATGAAACAAGCTTCATTTCCAGTATAAGTAAGTCTATACTCTTTCCATATTTAATACTCGATACAAAAAACAAACGGTTTTGTATGGGTTCGTATAGGATTTTCCAATCGCTCCAGTTCAGCTATTTAATAAGTCGAAACATTCAAAATTTTTTCCTATGGGCAACTTTTGATGCTGTATCGAATGATCGGATTGGAGATTTTAGAAAATTAAAATTAAAAATATTTTGCTTTGTCCCCATGGCTAACTTTCAAGAAAACCTCTGCTGCTACGATCGTGGGACATGACTTTTAGTAAAAACAATATAGATTACCACATATCTCAACACGTCCTACAAACCGAATATAGTCACGGCTTTTGGTCAATGTATCAACCTGGAGGAGCTACCCAACTTGTAATCGCATACTAATCATGACAAGAGATCACTTTCGAAAACTCTTTACTGTTCCTCTCTGCTCATACTGCGCGACAAAATGAATGTAGCTTTAGGGTAATTTGATTGACTTTCTTTAGAATAATTGTTCTTGTTTTTCTCCATGTAAGTGGAAGATTTTTTTCTTAAAAAGAACAACAAAAACACGTGTCTAAAAAAACATCGCCTTTTTTCAACCAAACTTATGAAAAATGAAAAAAAGAAACCGCACTCCACCGTACTCATTGAACAAAGAAGTGTTTATATCATCATTAGACGTAGTGCTTAGATATTTCATCAAGACGTTTTCGATTTTATTTACTTCCACTGGTCTTATTTCATCGTTGACCTTTTTGTATTTTATTGCAAAACTTCCGCATAAATACAAAAAACTTTTCTTTAGAGTCAGACACATGTTTTTGCCAATAAAACTATTTCACATGGTTGTGACCTATTTAGAACCCATGAAATAATTTGAAGCGGCTAACGTTCGTTAGTCGCTTCAAATTATTTCATGGGAAGTGAAAGTCTATTTTACAGCAAGCTAAATAACTTTCTAATGAAAGATGATAATAACCTTTTGTTTCGACTACTACATGTAAACAATTGTACTGTATCTGAATATCATAATTTTACGCGTACTACATATATGTATATGCAACATCTATGAAAATGAGTTATAGTCATTCACAAAATTATAAAAACGGTTCGAAACGTCATCTTACCTTTCAGTTTTTTGCTCAAGAAAAAACCTAGAAGGTAAGATGAGGTGTTGAACCGTTTTTATAATTTTGTGAATGAATACATATCAAAAATCATTAAAGTTCAAAAATCAGAATTTTTTTGATAAATCAGAAGATTAGGTAATCCTGCACTTGACTTGAATTAAGTAAATGGATCGGCATTTCATCTATTGCTAGTATTTCATATTAGTAACTGAATGATAGAAAAATGTAACATGATATGTATAATGCTGAATGCGTACGAAGGGATTTGTACAGTGCAAAGATTTTTATCTTTGAATACATACAGAAACTAATAGAAACAGTGATTGATACAGTTAACACCAAACGTATATCTTGTAGATTTCGAAGAAAAGCTGATTTATTTTAAATACTTATCAATTTCAATCATATATATATTCATCATTTACGTAAGGCAATAAATCTATTTCTGAACACGCAGTTATATGTCCATCATGTAATTGGATCTATATTTATAACGAAACTGCATTCAGTAATACCATCGGATTACTACAATAGTCATGGAAGATTATCAACGAAAAAGAGAGAGATAGTTCGTGTTGTTTCTTTTTTCATTGAAACAGTTGTGTGTATGATCGTCTTTCAATATATACACGTATATATATATACAATACAAGTAATAAAAAAACAGTTAAAATTGAATGAAAAGGATTAAAAGTGCATCCCCAGACAATATGATGAATTGAATAAAAAAAGATCCTTTTTATTCGCAAGGTTACAGTAGAAACTCCTTTTGTTTCAAAAAGACAACTTTGATTAACGGACATGAGTAAGTAAAATAGTTGAAAAAACTACGATAAATGAGGTACAATACGGCTCTCACTTAATCTAAGAATGAGTTACTAGAGCCAGACAATGTTACGATGTTAGTGATTTCAAAGATATTTCTACTCAGTAAAAATCTAAGATATAATAAATCTATCTTAACTATCATTATATACGTCTGTTCAACGAGATTAGTTTAAAGATATTGACATTATTGTTTCCTCTTCTATAAGATGTCGTTTAATAGATCTTGTTTTGTTTCTATTTGTCTTTTGAAAAGACAATTTGATATATATTTGTTTTTGTAGAACAGAAAGGTTTCTTCTTCTCTTTTTCCATTTACTTTTTATTTCTGCCGCAAACACACCATCTTAAGTACAAAAGGTATTTATTAACGTTGATTCTATGAGATATAAAACAAAAATTCTTCATACCTCTTTATCTATATACTTATTTTCAAAAGTAACTTGTATTATTCTTTTCTTCCTCTTCAAGTTGACTATTCTGAATGGATTAAGTAACAGAGAATAGAAATACAAAAGCGGAATATTTGTTCCAAAAATTCATAAGTTTATTTTGTAAAAGTAGGTACATCTGTAAATATTCAATATATCATAAGAAAGAATCCTCTTTTTAGCAAGAAAATTGATGAACTTTGTTTATTTATGCGCAAAACAAGCGGTTGTAATACAAATGTTATTGTCATAATTGCCAAGCAGACAAATACCTCTAAATCATTAAAAAACTATGGGACAGTGTAGAAAAAATAAAATAAATACATCATTCGATTGACTAAATGCAGATCCAGTTGAAATCTTGAAACTTCTTAAATTATCTTTCGGTCAAATTATATTAAGAGATTATACATGGGAAGTAAATAACTAATTCAAGGTAGATTTGATATCTATAAATCCCATCAACATAGAGTTTAGTACGTTTAAACAAGCACTTTATTATATACTCTTATCTTTTACGAGAAAAAACTGAATTTTTTCTAAGAAAATAGTTTCGTTGTATGTCTTTAAATAGCAATCAGTATTATATATATATATGCCATATTTTTTCTTCTTCTATCGTATCCATACCGGATATGACACATGTTCTCTCTTGATGCACCTGTACCGTGTTTCGTTCCTATATATTCAAAAATGTGTCAAATTCTCAATATACACACAGTAAAAAAACAAAATTATGTATGTTATTTATTTAGAGACCTTCTTTCTCTCTCTTTTCTTAGTCATTCGTTTTAATGTTTCAAATTTTTTTCCCCTCTCTGATGATGATTGTGCCACTTACTGCCTGTGTGTTAACCGTTGCGCATATATTATGCATTTCTTCTCCTGTTACTATATTGTTACTTTTTATATTAGAATAAAAAAAAAGGTAAAAATAAAATATCCTACAACTTTTGGTCGAAAATATATCAAATAGATTTATCCTAGTACACATGCTGGTTTTCTCTCTACGATTGTAAAAAGAAATGTAAAAAGTTTAAACACTTTTTAGAGTAGTCCAAAAAAAATATGATTTCTTAACTCTTTATTTTTTCTTAGTTCGAGTTTTTTTGTTTTACGTGTGTATACATGTGTAGATATGATTATACCATTCTTATGCCATGACTGTAAAAATAACAGCACTTATATTAAACAGTTTAAATTGTATAGTATTCACATTTACTGTTTATTTAATGAAAATCAAAACTTTTTCGATTATTATTTCAATGTGTTACGGTACTAAATAAAATTTTTGTATTTGTTTTATTTTTTAATAGAAAGAAATCTGAATAATGCGCAACATTTTAACAAAATAAAAAAAAGTGGAATATAAGCTAAACAAATGAATACATTTCCGTTTGAGAGAAAGATTTTAAGTATCTAAATTCTATAATTTCACTTTATATCTAACTAGATATGAAGTGTTTATTTTCACGAATGTGAGTTGTATCTTTGTTTTAATATTTCGTACGCCTTCTCTTCTGCGCCATCGTATCCATTTAACGGACCTTATTTTCTCAACATATTTTCACATAGACAATGACTCATTTGCATTGATCTCGAGTCAAATTTTAAATAGTTTCAATAACAATAATCAATTATGGAGCCAATAAACAAAAATCGTCTTCATCGAACAATAATATAGATTTACAGAAAAATATGTTATTGAATCAACATTATTATTATCATTTT